CAAGTACTGAATAACGTGGTTGGTTGCTCATGTAGCATTTCCCCTGCTTAGAGGCTGTTCTCAGTAGAACGCTAGTCCATCACAGCCTCTCTCCATATGTAATTTTACAAAACCGAGGTTCGTTTCCATTTTAAATGTGGTGAGATACTTTTGGGTTTTTTTTATACTTATTTTTTTTATTTAGTTTTGGTACTGGGGATTGAACCCAGGGGCAATTCACCACTGAGCCACATCCCCCAACCCTTTTTATGTTTTATTTTAGACAGGGTCTCGCTAAGTTGCTCAGGACCTCGACAAGTTGCTGAGGCTGGCCTCCAACTTGTGATCCTCCTGTCTCAGCCTCCCGAGCTGCTGAATTAGAGACATTCACCACTGCACCCAGCCTGTGAGATAGTTTGGACACGTCAAAGGGTGTAAATAGTCATATAACCAACACCCTGTGTAGTTTCACCCAGTTTTTCCAAACTGTTGAGACCCCTTTTCTACACTATTCAGATTTGACATTTGTCACCTCCGTGGGTCCTTCCTGCCTTCAGGACACCTGTGTGATTGCTTAAACTATCGTCTTATGTGGTTTGAAGCGGGCACCATGGCGGGTGGCGCCTGGGTTCTGTCTCTCCCTGTTTTCTTTGTGAGTCACAAGCTCCGTCGTGTGCCGTGGCAAATGACTCACTGTCACACGGAGCCATTATGTCACCCTGTATTGTTTCCATTCTCCTGATGGTGAACGTCTGGGTTGCCCCTCACTTGTCCCTCTTAGAAGCGAGGCTGCCGTGGACCCTTCTTGGACGCACAGGGAGAGTGTGAAGGGTGGCGTTGCCGGGCCTCGGGGGACACTGGCTCATGTCCCTGGGTCACACGGACGACCTTCTGCGTTCACAGGAGGATGGATGTTGGTAGTTAATGTTAGTCTACGTCCCACTGGTGGCGGGCGAGAGTTCCCGTGAGGGCACATCCTGGGCTCCACGTGATGTGGGTTGAGCTTTTTCTTCTTTGCCAATCTGATAAAGTTAAATGGTTTGTCACTGTGGCTTTCGTTTGCATTTCTGTGCTGATGGGAAAGTTAAGCACTTCACGTTCTCCACAGCTCTGACTCCAGCCTGGTCTCCTACCCCCGAGCCTCTCTGCTGTCCCAGAATGTCCCAAAACCTGGCCAAAATCATGTCTCCGCCCCGGAGCCTGCTGGGTGAACCCTTCTGCAAGGCTCCTCCTGCGGGGTGCAGCCTGTGCTCACAAGAAACCGGCAGCAGAGATCCGTGACCCCCATTTTACACATGAGAAAACAGAATCAGAGGGGTTAGGTGACTTGCCCAAGGACACACAGCTGGGATGCTGTAGACTCCAATTCAGGGACTCTTCTCTCTCCTGGAGGAGGCCGTGGAGGTGGGCGCTGCAGGGAGGCCACGGAGGGAAGGCTCAGGACACTCTGGGCTTCTTTCTGGAGTGGCCTCGTTCACATGGGGAGAAAGTCACCACGGCCCTCAGGAGTCGGCTTGAGTGGGAAGACGCCTAAAGGGCTGGGCGCGGGGCAGAGAGGGAGGTGGCGCTGGGGGGCGGCCGTCTGGGCAGAAGCCAGAACCTGGCCCCGGCCATTTGGTTCTGCAAGGCCTCAAACACGGTGCTCTTCCTCCCGCTTCTAAACGGGGACAAGCTGAATCGGGGAGCCCTGGGCCGGTCACAGGCGTCCCCAAGGCTCCACGCTGTCCTGCTTTCCGGCCAAGCTGTCACTCTCCGCTGTGTCCCTGTCGTGGTGAATCGTTGTTTACTTTAGGGGACACTTGGGGGGCTACCCCAGGCCGGGCACTCTCCCTGACGCCTGGCAGGCAGGGCGGAGGGGACCCCAGGACCAGGAGCCCGGCACTGCGTGACTGTCCCAGGGAGGTGAAGTCCCCGCCAGCCCAGGCCCGTCAGAGGCAGCGCTGGGGGCAGACGGGCAGGCGGCGCGGAGGGTGCGTCTCGGCCAGCGGGTGTGGCGCCCGCCCGGGCATCCTGGTCATCTGCAGGGTTTTCTTTGGGGCCATGTTGATTGGAGTAAAAAATGGGGGAAGGGGATGAGAAATAGCAAGCAGATAACAGCCCCAGGGAAGGTGCGAGTGGCAGAGTTCTGGAACATTCCGTCATGGCATCGGGAGGGAGGAGGTGGGCCGTGGGAGCTGGGCTGGAGGACAGGAGAGGGACAGTGCCAGGGGGAGAGGACTTGGCCGTGCACAGGGGCGTGACAGGGCCCGGGGTGCTGGGAGGGGTGCTACCTCTGGAGCACGCGGGAGGAGGGATCCGGCCTCTGGAGGAGTTTCTCGCCGCTCACAGCCCGGAATCAGAGGCCGGGAGCAGAGGCCGGGAGCAGAGGCCGGGGTTGCTCCCGTCTCAGAGACGGTAACTGAGGACCAGGGGAAGGATTTTGCTCCACGATCCTCAAATCTGGGCCCTCTTTTCCCTCCGTCTCTATCAGATGTCATTGGTGGTAAGCAACAGAAACAGCCTTTGGCACAGCTGAGCAAAGCAAGGGCTTTGGGGCTCATGTCAATGAATGGTCCAGATGCGGCCGTCAGGTACGGCTGGATCCAGGTCCTCAAAGCTGTCGTGGGGACTCTGAGTCTGTGCTTCACAGTAATTTCATCCTTTCCAGGCAGGCATTAGGAGGTGACCAAGATGGCTGCGAGTTTCTAGCAGGTACCCCCAAAAGTCCCCTTGCTGCAGTTCTAGGGAAAAATCCCCAGGACTGTGTCAATGGTGTTGCCTGGTTTTAGGTCCATCCCTGATCCAGCCGCTGTGGCCGGGAGCCCTTGGTGACAAATGGAGCCCTCGAATTGGCCAGGCCTGGGTCATGTGCCCACTCTGTGCTGCGTAGGTGGGCTCCAGTTTATGGGGCACCTCATGACAAGGGCCACACAGCCAGCGGGCGCCTTGACACCCCCAGGAGTTGGGCTTGTGCAGAGCTAAGGCAACGAGTTTGGAGGCTGAGCCCTGATCCTTGGAAAGGAGACTTTTTCCTGTGGCTGAGATGAAGCCATTGGGCAGGGACCTGGACAGGGCTATTCTTGTGCTGCGGTCGAGGTCAGAACTGTGGACTTGCTAGTGGGAGAGCAGACGCGGATGCTCCTGTTCAAGGTGGAACAACAATGTCTTAGTTCACTTTCTGCTGCTAAAACAAAACACCTGAGGTTGGGTCTTTTTTTTTTTAATACTGGAGATTGAACTCCGAGGTGCTTAACCACTGAGCCCCATCCCCAGCCCTTTTTATATTTTATTTAGAGACAGGGTATCGCTAAAAGAATGTTAGAAATGTTAGGCTGGCTTTGAACTTGCGACCCCCCCCCCACCTCAGCCTCTCGGGCTGTTGGGATGACAGGCGTGGGCCACCGTGCCTGACAGTTCTGGTCATTTTTAGTGACTAGGATTTGGCTCATGATGCTGGAGGTGGGGAGTCTGAGAGCGAGGTTCTGACACCTGCTTAGCCTCTGGGGAGAGCCTCATGCCCCTCATGTATTCCTAAGACCCCTCAAAGACCCCCCACCAAGTACCATCCAGCCACAGGGGATTTTGGGGATAAGGTCCCAGCACTTGAACTTTGGGGGACGTGGTCTAAGTCACAGCACAAGGCTGAAGGTCCCGGGTCACATAGGGCACTGCTCCCAGACGCAGGTGGAGACGGAGTTCCTCCGAACATTCCCTTATGGTGACAGCACCGTAGTTCATTTTAAAGCCTGTTATAAAAAAATACATGAACACGCATGTTATCTATTAGGATGAAGTTGCACTTTAATTTTTACGTGGATCCATATAAGAAAATATAGATAATGAACAGTATCTCTCTGTGAGCCAGTGGCCGAAATTTTGAAGGGGAGGAATTTTGGAAACTTTTGGCTGGATCCTTCTGGGAGTTTCCGTTTCTGATGCCCCGAGTTTTACAGGGATCTCAGCCGAGTCTTTATGTGTCCGAGGGCACTGTCAAGAGTTTTCTGCCATCGACCTCCCTGAATGCTCACGAATCCCTGGAAGTCTCCACTTTATGAGGCTCAGAGAGGGCGAGGGGCTGTCCTGTGGCCACACAGCAGGTACTCTGAAAGTTTCTGGCTGCACAGCCGGTGTCCCCCAGGATGGCTTCCTTGTTGACTTTGTTAGGAAAAAAATTCACACAGGGCTGTCGATGGGGCCAGAGTAGGGTCTGGGGGACTCCAATCAGGAACTGCTATCGAGGGGTCAGAGACAGTGTCTGAGGAGAGCAGTGCCTGATGGGACTCCTGGGTCATCTCTGGGATGGGACCCCAGGGTCATCTCTCTGGGCTCCAGGTCCAGCTGTGGACAGGGGCTGGTTGGGATGGAGCTCCTGAGCCTGGGTCCCACTGGCCGCCGGTGCTCCCCTGCAGAGCTGGCCGCTTTAACAGGCAAAGTTCTAGAAGAGCCTCGTCCCCAGCCTGGAGGGTCACTCCCTGCCGGGGCGTGGAAGGCGGCTCTTCCCAGACACGCTGCCTGGTCTCCATCTCGGGCAGGATCGGGGGGACTGAGTTTCTTAGTGCGCCCCGCAGTGGGCCGACCTGGGCTGTGGGACGGGGTCAGAAGCCTCATTCTCGGGTGGCCTCACCTGCGTGTGGGGTAGCGGTCCCCTTGGCGGGCTGCCTTGGATTCCTGGTGAGGGGGAAGCCAATTTCCAGGGCCACTGTCAGCACGGGGAGAGGACTCGGGTGGGCAGAGAAGTGCCCGCCCCTTTAACTCCACTCTTGCCACATCAGTGGGCCTGGCAGGGACAGAGGAAGAGCCAGTGTCCCCCCTCGAGGTCTCCTTTCCTGTGCTAAGAGGGAGAAGAAGGAGCTGGGCGGGGGCTGTGGGGGGAGTGACCTTGGCTAAGGGACAGGAGGCCCGGGCCAGCCTCCGCGGACCCCTCAGACCTCGCAGGACCCTGCCCAGGCTGGCCCGGGGAGGCCGGGGGTTGAGGCCTGCCCGGGGAGGCCGGGGGTTGAGGCCTGCCGCCCAGCCCCCCCCGCCCTGTGTGTGTCTTGCAGGCCCCAGGACGCAGCATGCCCCCAGGCTGGGCCGTGCCCGTGCTCCTGCTGGTGCTGCAGGGTGGTAAGTAGCTGCCCCCAGTCGGGGGGTGGCAGGGGGCCCCCTCCTCCCACACAGTCCAGCTGGGGCTGCGCTGGCCAAGGGAGCTCCTGGACATGGCTAGAGGCCGTCGGGACCCAGAGCCGATGGCCTCCGTCCACTTGTGACTCATACAGGTCGAGTGGCTGCCCCCCATTAACCAGCGTCCATCCAGCCAGAGCCCTCCCGGGACACATGAGGCCCAAGTAGCCCCCGATGGCCCGGCTCTTCAAGTCCCACCAGGGGATGGGTTCTGTTCATTCCCCTGCTGTCCGCCTTGGCCAGCCCCCAACCCCTGAGGGGCGGAAGTCCTGCCTTCTGTCTAACCTCTGTCTCTCCTTAGGTAACAACTTTGCTCGGAGAGCCAGGCGAGCAGGGCTGGGCAGGAGTCCCGCTGCGGGGCTGTGGAGGGCAGGGGAACTCTGCCCGGCTCTGCTGACTCAGAAGGGCTGCTCTGGGTTTTACCCAAAGACCCAGCGCCTCAAATAGCTCCTCAGGAAACAGATGTTGGCTTTTGTTTTCCTTTCTGAGTGGCCAGCAGCCCCGGCCAGTTTGGGTCCCCTGTCCTGGCGCCACACCCAGGGGACCAAGCAACAAGCCCCTGACACGTGCTCAGCCTTGAACTTCACCTCCGACATCCCCCTGCCGCCTGGGAGACCCGGGCACGGAGGCTGGGGGTGAACAGGGTTGAGGCTCAGGCCACGCAGCCAGACAGCAGCAGGGCAGAGATGGGCGCCTGGCTCTCCCGGGCTGGGGTGTGCTGCTGAGCAAAAGATTAAGGGCGACATTGACTTCCCACAGTCCTGGAGGCCAGGAAGTCCAAGGTCAAGGTCAAGGTCTTGACTTCCAAGATGGCGCCCTTTATGCTGGGTCCTCACGGGGTGGAAGGGACGGAGGGGCTAACGGGGCAAATGCTGGCTACCTCCTGCCCTTTGGTAGAATTGCTGACCCGTCACCACCACGTGGCCCCAGCTCCTAACCCCGTAGCCATTTGTCGGGTGTCCCAAGGACAGGCCACATGTGCCTCCCTAAGACAGAACGAGCCCCTTGGTGGCGTGGCCTGGGGAACTGTGGTAGGAAGGATTCTGAGGCCACTCTGGGGAGGGAGCCTGACCCATGAGCAATGTCTGCCCCTCGGGTCAAAGTGAAAACCAGGCCCAGTGTGGGTTACCTCCCCAGGTGGGAACTGAGCAGCACAGACCAGGGCACCAGAGGTGCAGTCTAGTCTGGGCCCCAGAGGGGTGGTCTAGCCTAGGACCCAGAGGTGCCGTCTAGCCTGAGACCCAGAGGTGCCATCTAGCCTGGGACCAGTTGTGCTGTCTAGCTTAGGACCCAGAGGTGTTGTCTAGCCTGAGATCCAGAGATGAGGTCTAACCTGAGACCCAGAGGTGCTGTCTAACCTGGGACCCAGAGGTGAGGTCTAGCCTGGGACCCAGAGGTGAGGTCTAGCCTGGGACCCAGAGGGGCTGTCTAGCCTGAGACCAAGAGGTGGGGTCTAGCCTGAGATCCAGAGGTACAGTCTAGCCCAAGACCCAGAGGTGCTGTCTAGCCCAAGACCGAGAGGTGCCGTCTAGCCTGGGACCTAGAGGTGAGGTCTAGCCTGGGACCCAGAGGTGCTGTCTAGCCTGAGACCCAGAGGTGGGGTCTAGCCTGAGATCCAGAGGTACAGTCTAGCCCAAGACCCAGAGGTGCTGTCTAGCCCAAGACCGAGAGGTGCCGTCTAGCCTGGGACCTAGAGGTACCATCTAGCCTGAGACCCTGAGGTTCAGTCTAGCCTGGGACCCAGAGATGCTGTGTAGCCTGAGACCCAGAGGTGCTCTCTAGCCTGAGACCCAGTGGTGTGGTCTAGCCTGTGACCCAGAGGTGCTGTGTAGCCTGTGACCCAGAGGTGCTGTCTAGCCTGGGACCCAGAGGTGCTGTCTAGCCTGAGACCCAGAGGTACGGTCTAGCCTGAGACCCAGAGGTGCTGTGTCTAGCCTGGGACCCAGAGGTGCTGTCTAGCCTGAGACCCAGAGGTGCTATCTAGCCTGGGACCCAGAGGTGGGGTCTAGCCTGGGACCCAGAGGTGCTGTCTAGCCTGAGACCCAGAGGAGCTGTCTAGCCTGAGACCCAGAGGTACAGTCTAGCCTGAGACCCAGAGGTGCTGTGTCTAGCCTGGGACCCAGAGGTGGGGTCTAGCCTGAGACCCAGAAGTGCTGTATACCCTGAGACCCAGAGGTGACCCAAAGGTGCTGTCTAGCCTGGGACCCAGAGGTGAGGTCTAGTCTGGACCCAGAAGTGAGGTCTAGCCTGGGACCCAGAGGTGCTGTCTAGCCTGGGACCCAGAGGTGCTGTCTAGCCTGAGACCCAGAGGTGGGGTCTAGCCTGGGACCCAGAGGTGGGGTCTAGCCTGGGACCCAGAGGTGGGGTCTAGCCTGAGACCCAGAGGTGCTGTCTAGCCTGGGACCCAGAGGTGGGGTCTAGCCTGGGACCCAGAGGTGCTGTCTAGCCTGAGACCCAGAGGTGCAGTCTAGCCTGAGACCCAGAGGTGGGGTCTAGCCTGGGACCCAGAGGTGCTGTCTAGCCTGGGACCCAGAGGTGCTGTCTAGCCTGAGACCCAGAGGTGGGGTCTAGCCTGGGACCCAGAGGTGGGGTCTAGCCTGGGACCCAGAGGTGCTGTCTAGCCTGGGACCCGAAGTTAGGTCTAGTCTGAGACCCAGAGGTGCTCTCTAGCCTGAGACCCAGAGGTGTGGTCTAGCCTGGGACTCAGAGGTGCTGTCTAGCCTGAGACCCAGAGGTGCTGTCTAGTCTGAGACCCAGAAGTGAGGTCTAGCCTGGACCCAGAGGTGAAGTCTAGCCTGGACCCAGAGGTGCTGTCTAGCCTGGACCCAGAGGTGAGGTCTAGCCTGGGACCCAGAGGTGAGGTCTAGCCTGGGACCCAGAGGTGCTGTCTAGCCTGGACCCAGAGGTGCTGTCTAGCCTGGGACCCAGAGGTGCTGTCTAGCCTGGGACCCAGAGGTGAGGTCTAGCCTGGGAGCCTGTGTCCTCACCTCCACAGTGGGAGTGGGTTTGTGAGGAAGGAAGGACCTTTCTCTGACCAGGAGGGGACGGTCTATGCCCCCACCTCCAGGGTCCTCATTAGTGGGCTGGGGAAGCAGCTTCAGCACTTGTGGGGAGGACGCGTTGGCAGTGACGTCCCATCATACAGACTAGAGACCATGGGGCTTCTCTGGTCAGACTCGTCAGCGTTTCCGCCCTGAGGGGCCTGGGTGCAAGGGTGCGAGGGTGGGAGGGTCGTGACTTTGTTGGGCGGATGCTGAATCTCCAGGCAGATCTGCTGGGACCTCCGGGCCCTGCTGCCATGTCCCCGGGCAGCGGGAGGACGCAGATCTCTGCACCAAGGTCCAGGTGCTCTGGGTTTCCTCCCCCTGGGAGCAGGGCCACATCACCCAGGGGTCACGTCCTGCGGGCTCCGAGGCTGTGACTCTGAGGTCCCCTCCTGGAGGGGAATTTGAGGCTTTGTCTGCAAGGCTGTGGGTGACTTCGTGAGGTCCTGACTCTCCTGCGGGATGACAGGGTCTGTGCTGGCTCAGCCCACTCTGCGCCTGGGGCTCAGGACCTGAGTGGCATGTCCTAAAGGAGGGACAGTGACCAGGGGCCAGACACAGGTGCAAAGACAGGGACAGCTTAGTCTCAGCTACTTCACATCAGGAGAGCCGAGTCACCACGCCAGCCTCAGAAGGTCGGCACTAACCCAGGAATCCCCGGTGACACGGATCCCTGTGTCCTGGGCCTACTTTGCCGGGCCCCTGGGTCCCCATGTTCGTCCCGGCCCTAGGGCTGCCCCACCTCATCCTCCAGCGGCCAGTCCCCCTACAGCCCGTGTCCCCGACCCTGCAGGCTGGGGCTGCCGGGATCTCGTGTGCTACACTGACTACCTCGAGACGGTCACCTGCGTCCTGGAGACGTGGAGTCTCCACCCCGGCACGCTCACTCTCACCTGGTAAGTGGCCCTGGGGACGCTGCTCAGGGCTCCTGCAGGGTTCAGGGGTCTGGACCAAGGAGACCACAGACCCGGCTCAGCAGGTAGGTCCGTGATGACCAGAGCAGCGGCCGTGTCCTGGGGGCCACTCAGCCATCTCACTCCAAGAAAGACCCCGCCAGCTGGGATTCCAGCGCCCACCTTGCAGATGGTCCTAGAGGACGGTCCTGTTCAGACACTGAGCACGTGGGTGGGGATGTAACTCTCTGGTGAACTCCTATGCATCCCTCAGAACCCATCGCTTCTGCCCAGTGGGAGTTAAAACACCAGATCCCTCCCGATCCCACCCGACCAGCTTCCCCAGAAGCCCACCCAGGACAGGGGATGAGGCTTGAAGATGTCCTTCGCCCTGGACACAGGCCTCCCTGGGTATTCGGTCCCCTCCCACGGGACTGCAACCCAGTGCTGGGACAGACAGGGACAGATTTAGATTGATCCAAATGAGAGTGGCCCAGATTTCTAAGATGGGCCCCGAATGGGGTGTGTGCTGCGGGTCCCCTGGGGGTGCCAAAGCCCAGCCTGGACACAGCCCCCCAGGGCTGCTGCAGGGGTGGGGATCCTCCCCGGGAGCTCGGGGCACCTGGCCCTGAGCACTGGGCCCCAGGCCTCCAGCCATGACCGGCCTCTGTCTCCTCGAAGGCAAGACCAGTACGGAGAACTGGGGGACGAGGTCACCTCCTGCAGCCTCCACAGATCCGGCCACAATGCCACCCACGCGAAGTACACGTGCCACATGGACGTGTTCCACTTCATGCCCGATGACGTCTTCAGCGTCAACGTGACAGACCCGACCGGCAACTCCTCCCGGGAGTGCGGCAGCTTCATCCTGGCTGACAACAGTGAGTGCCCGGCCTGCTGGGGACCAGGTGACAGCAGTGAGCGCCCGGCCCTGCTGGGGACCAAGTGACAGCAGTGAGCGCCCGGCCCTGGTGGGGACCAGGTGACAGCAGTGAGCACCCAGCCCTGGTGGGGACCAGGTGACAGCAGTGAGCGCCCGGCCCTGGTGGGGACCAGGTGACAGCAGTGAGCGCCCGGCCCTGGTGGGGACCAGGTGACAGCAGTGAGCGCCCGGCCCTGGTGGGGACCAGGTGACAGCAGTGAGTGCCCGGCCTGGTGGGGACCAGGGGAGCTGGGCCCATGCTCCCGCCCGGAGCCGCTGTCCGCTCCATTGGAAAGGGCCTGTCCTGGGTCCCCACCCAAGGGTCCTGCCCTGTCACTAGGGGCTGACGGGCTGTGCGAGGCTTGGGCCTCGGCTGACCCTATGAGGAGCCCTGGAGGTTTGGGAAGAGTTGGGCCAGGACCCGGGACACCCGGGCTTTGGTCCTGGCTGGGCCCTGCCCGTCGGTGTGACTCTGGACAAGGTGTGGGTCACCTGGGGCTGCTTCCCCCTGAGCAGAGAGAAGGCCCTTCCACCACCCGCCCGCGGGATGCTGTCCGCACAGAGCACAGAGGCCGGCGGAGGTCACAGTCCCACCTGGTTCCTCCCCTTCCTGGGGCTGGAGCAGGAGGGCTGTTGTGTCCTGTGTCCCCAAGCCCAGGGCCGGGCGGGGCCAGAGAAGGGTCTGGAAGGCAACCTTGGCTTGTGTGTGTGACCATGTCTGGGGTTCACGCTCCGGGTCAGGTTGCCCTGCGGGCGGTTCACCACAGAGGGCGGGAGCCAGGCTTTGCACACCCAGACACACCCACCACATCTCCCCAAGCCCTGGCCTAGGAGGCAGGGACACAGAAGCCTGAGCTGTCACACACCCACACGCACACGATCTCACACACTCACTTACACACCCGCACTAGCACACACATGCACACTCACAGTGAGAAGCGAGGTCCCGGCACACGCCTGGCTGGCCCATCCCCCGCAGCCCCAGGAGCAGAGGGGAGGTCAGGGGGCCGGGTGGCCGGGAGGTGGCCACTGCCCGTTGCTGGGTGGCTCCAGGTTTGCAGTTCTCTCAGGGTCTGAGGCCAGCGGGGCCCAGGGGCAGGAGGTGACTTCCTGCCTCCCCCTCCTGGCCTCCTCCCTCCTCCTGGGGCCCGGGCCCCCTGCGCTGAGCCCCCTGAGGACCCCAGACCCACAAGCATCCTGGGCACGCGCCGGGCAGTTCCAGTCACTTGCTGTCACCCTGGACTGAACCTCGGCATTCAGCGCAGGTCACTCGCCCAGGACCGGTCCCCAGCCACCCTGGGGAGGGGAAGAGTATGAGGACCTCTCTGTGCCCAACAAGGAAGCGCCCTGGGGGGGGGGTAAAGCCTGCTCTTCTCCCCCCCCCAGGTTGGCGCCCCCAGGGTGCTTCAGACCTGAGCAGGCTGGAGTCCCCTTTTGGAAGCCCTCAAAGGGCCGTTTGTTAATGTGACACGTATTCATGGAGGGTCGCCGTGCCCCAGGCTCTGTCCTAGGAGCTGGGGGCTCAGAAGGGGCCAGGAGGACAAGTGGCCTTTGGAGGTGCAGAGCTGGGGCAGAGGAGGGCTGCGGCTTCAGAGGCCGACAGTTGGTCACCTGGTCCCCTGCAGTCACCACCTTCTGCTGTTCAGCATGGTCCCCAGGACAGTGAGGCCCCAGGGATGGAAACTGGTTCCCTTACACGGGGCAGGACTGTAAGGCCGGGTCCTGACCAAGTTCATCAGGCAAACTGGGATGGAGAACGGGAACAGCTCTGACCTTCACCCGGGGCGCGGAGGGCATTGAGCCAAGCTCACAGGGCCCCCGTGGGGTCAGTCTGCCCAGCACAGAGCAGCAGGGCAGCTCCAGGCTGAGGAGCCGTCATCATTGTCCTGTGGGCCGGGTGCACACCTGTGATCCCAGTGAGTCAGGAGGCTGAAGTAGGAGGATCGCAAATTGGAGGCTAGCCTCAGCCACTGAGTGAGCCCCTCAGCAATGTAGGGAGGCCCTGACTCAAAATAAAACATGGAAAGGGCTGGGGACGAGGTTCAGGGGTTGAGCGCCCCAGGTTCAGTCCCCGGTACCACAAAGTAAACAAAACCAAACAAAACTGGAGTGATTTCACAGGATCGTCTCGATTCCCAGGTTTTACAGCGTCTTGTTTTGTTTTTTTCCTGGAAATACTTAGACAATCCTGGTGTGGGCTCCTCCACCTGGCCAGCCTGGGCCCGGGTCCTGGCTGTCCCTTTTAAGCCCAAGAACAGCCCTTTCTGTTCCATCACCTCACACCTGTGTCCCCAGTTCTGACTGACACCTGCCCGTGGCCGCCGAGGCTGTACCCCTCGCCTGGTCTGAGCAGCGGAGACCTAGAGGCGGGGAGGGCTGTGCCCAGAGTCACTGGGGTTGCTGACCCTGGCCTTGCGGGCGATGGCCAGGGAGAGGGAGGGGACTTCTGGAGGCCTCCAGATTTTTCCGGGCTGCAGCTAAGTCCCACCCTGCCTTATCTTTCTGGGTGTCTCCCCTCAGTCAAGCCGGCTCCTCCTTTCAACGTGACGGTCACCTTCTCGGGACACTACAACGTCTCCTGGTGCTCTGACTACGAGGAGCCTGACTTCTACGCGCTGAGGGGCAGGATGCAGTATGAGCTGCAGTACAGGAACCGCGGGGACCCCTGGGCTCGGGTGAGGACCCCGCGGGTGGCCCGGCTTGGGGAGGGAGCAGCCAGGTGTGAGACGGGGAGTGTGAGTGACAGGTGAGCTCTGCAGCCCCAGGCACCACTGAGTTCTCCCTGGTGGGGGGAGACCCCCTCCCCGTCTCCCACCCATGCAACCAGAATAGAGGAGGTTTCGGAAACTTCCTGAACCTTCTGGAACCTTCTGCAAGGTTCCCACTTTGCTGAGCAGAGCCATAGTTGGAGAGTCCCAGACATATCCGAGGGCAGGCCCAGGGTTAGAGAGCCAGCTGTTCCCAATGTGGAGGCTTCACAGGTGCCCTTTGCTCCGGAGAGTTCCGGGGAAGAGCAGAGTTAGGGAGTCCACCAGCCAAGGCCCAGGCCCTGCTGAGAGTGGCCAGCTTGGCCCGGAGCCTGATGCCTGTTGCAGGAGAGGAGACCCCAGCCCCCTCCACGGGGGGCTGCCGAAAGGCGGTTCTGCAAGGGGCAGGGGCTGGCCCCCGGGGAAGCCTGACCGGAGCGTCCTTTCTGCCCCGCAGAGCCCGGTGACAAAGCTGGTCTCAGTGGACTCGAGGAGCGTCTCCCTCCTGCCCTTGGAGTTCCGCCAGGGCTCCAGCTATGAGCTGCAGGTGCGGGCGGGGCCCCAGCCGGGCTCCTCCTTCCGGGGGACCTGGAGTGAGTGGAGCGACCCCGTCATCTTTCAGACCCCGCCGGAGGAGGGTAGGTGTGACCCCGGAGTGGACGACCCCCTCCTGGTACCAGCTCAGGGCCTCACTCAGTTGCTGAGGGCCTCGCTCAGTTGCTGAGGCTGGCTTTGACCTTGCGATCCTCCTGTCTCAGCCTCCCGAGCCGCTGGGATGACAGGCGGAGATGAGGTCATTTGCCTTCCTTTGCAGAGTCCAGGGGAGGCTGGGGGCCCCCCCAGCTGCTGCTGCTGCTCCTGCTGGTCATCTTGGGCCCTGTCCTTGTCTTCCTGGGCCTGAAGGTCCACCTGCCTTGGAGGTGAGGCTGGGGTCCTCAGCAGGGAAGGGGGATGGGCCATGGCCCCTCTGAGCAAGACCCTCCCCGGGGCTGGGGGACGGGCCTGTCACCATGATGGAGATCCTAATGGGCAGCTCACATTCACCACGCACCGGACGCCGTGCAGAGCACCCACGCCACCCACGGCAGCCCACGAGCCGATACACCGCAGTTACCCCTGTTTTACAAACAGAGAGGCCAAGGCACAGAGCTGTCAAGGAACTTGCCCAAAGCCACACAGCTGGGGCAGGGGCAGCATGGACCCTGTGCTCTTCACAGCTGTGACCTTGTCTGGTGGAGTGACATGAGCACCCTCCCCCACCCCCTCTGCTTAACCAGAGGTTTGCTCTGTTTTTTGGTACCTGGTATTGAACTGGGGGTGCTCCACCACTGAGCCCCGTCCTCAGCCCTTTTATATTTTATCTAGAGACAGGGTCTCACTGAGTTGCTCAGGGCCTCACTGAGGCTGGCTTTGAACTCGCCATCCTCGGATTACGGGCGGGGGACCAGCACCCAGCACCTAGGTGGTCCTGCCCTGGCCCTGTGGAGCGGCCCCTCCTGTCCTCCCTGGAAGTGGAGGCTCAGAAGGGACAGCAGTGTTTGCACACGAGGACCTCTTCATCCAGGAACCTGCCAGAGGCCGGAGACCCCCTGCTCCCACTTCACGGAGGCGGAATCAGAGGCTGGGGGGGGGGCAGGACTGTCCTGGAGGGGCAGCGTCTCCTGCAGGACAAGTCGGGGCCACCCTCTGGCTGCGGTCACAGCCTCTGGTGGTCTCTGTCCCCTTAGGCTGTGTAAGAAGGTGTGGGCGCCCGTGCCCAGCCCGAAGCGGTTCTTCCAGCCCCTGTACGAGGGCCACGGTGGGGACTTCAAGGTGAGCGAGCCCCTCCCAGATCCCCACCTCCATCTGGACCCTGGCCACCCTGTGGGCCCGGAGTGTCGTGGCCCCGTGGGACCTGGAGCCCGGCCTGGGCGTCCCAGTTCCCAGGGCAACAGCGTGTGTTGTCACCAGACCCGGACGGGCCCCCCAGGCCTCCCAGCTCAGAGACAGACCCACGGGCTCCCGACAGGCACTGGCCTGAGCCTCCCCTCCCCGCCCCGACCTGGGTGGGCAGGGAGGGGGTCCTGCTGTCACCCCTTCCTGCCCAGCACCCTCTGCCACCCTCGGCACCCCCAGGAGGGGCCCAAAGACAGGATGTGGTGACGGGGGGAGGGGCAGCCTGCGGGCTCCAGCTGAGCCAGACAACCTAGAGCACTGATTGAGCTCCTGCTGTTTACCTGGTGCAGCTGTGGGGTCCCAGAGCGGGGAGGGAGGGACCTGGGACCTGCCTACTTCTCCCCTGAGGCCCAACTGTCCCATTGATTCTGTGTCCCTGTCATCTGCACTTCAAGGGCTTTGTCATTGATTCACTCAACTCATTAGTTCATAAACACTTATTGTGCACCTGCTGTGTGCATGAACACAGAAGGTGAGGCTTCTGCAGGGGCTGAGTGTCCCCTCTAATGGGGACACATAAACAGGAGAACTTGGAGCTTGTGGATGGTCAAGGAGGAAGTAGAACAGGGGACAGAGTGGGGGACAGAGAGGGGAGACAGAGAGGGGTCTGTCCAGGCCTCCGACCCCTGTCACGGGGACTTGGGAACTTTGTCCGTGCACCCAGCAGAGCCCAGGCCTCGGGGCCACCGTGACTGAGCAGGCTACTGAGGGCAGGAGCTGCCCATGATGGGTGGGGACACTGAGGCCCAGAGTGGGCAGGACAGAGGTGGGGACCTGATGGACGAGGGCCATCAAGGTCCTGATCTGTTCTCTCCCCCCCGATGTCTTGTCCCTGCTGTCCTGTGCCCCTGTGTCCCCACCTCACTCTGTGTCTCTTCCACAGAGATGGGTGGGCTCGCCCTTCTGCGCCCCCAGCCTGGACCCAGGGCCCTGGGGCACCGTGGTACTGTCCACCCTGGAGCTGCCCGCCTGCGTCCCCCCACGGAGTCCAGCCAAGGGACTGGAGTCCCCAGGGCTGGCGGGGCCCGCGGACCTGCTGGAGACTGACGGGGTGTCCGAGCCTCGCTCCTGGGGCCCGGTCTCCCCCAGAGCAGGTGGCTCCAGAGGCTCAGCCTTCGGGGAGGAGAGGGACCGTCCGTACGGCCTGGTGTCCATCGACACGGTGACCGTGGTGGACGCCGAGGGACCGTGCACCTGGCCTTGCAGCTGCGGGGACGATGGCTACCCCGCCCTGAGCCTGGACACCAGCCTGGAGCCGGGCCCTGGGGACCTGCTGCTGGGCCCGGCCACCACGGTCCTGTCCTGCGGCTGCGTCTCGTCGGGCGGCCCTGGGCTGGGGGGCCCTATGGGCAGCCTCCTAGACAGGCTGGAGCTGACCCTGGCCGACCAGGAGGGCTGGTCCCCAGGGGGTGCCCCAGACAGTGAGGCCGGGTCCCCAGCCGCCGGCCTGGACATGGACACCTTTGACAGCGGCTTCGCGGGCTCCGACTGCGGCAGCCCCGTCGAGTGTGACTTCGCTGGCCCCGGGGACGAGGGGCCGCCCCGGAGCTACCTCCGCCAATGGGTGGTCAGGAGCCCTCCGCCCGCTGGCCCCACGGCCCAAGCCAGCTAGCGAGGCGGTGACCCAGCTGCCCTGTCCCCAGCTGGCCACCACAGACGGCCACCCGGGCACTAGCAGAGACAGGCCCGCGGCCCTCGGTCCCCGGGGAAGGGGCCTCTGGGCCTGTGGCTCACGGTGTGCGTGGCTGGGTGTGCGGTGGCGTGTCCCCAGCTGCATGTGGCCCTGGCTGTGACAGAGCACCAGCAGGCACAGGCAATGGCCGCCGTTCCACCAGCCTGCTGGGCTCAGGCACTGCCTGTGACAGGTGCCAAGCCAGGCCCCAGGTCCCGGGAAGAGTCCAGCAGCCACACACGTCCAGGCTGTCCCTGCAACCTCTCGGAAGGGCTGGGGAGGGGGTGAGCCCTCAGGGCGCAGGAAGATTCCGCCCAGGGGGCCCCTGCTGTGCTGCCCAGACAAGTCGCAGTCCCTCTCTGGGCTGCTTCCTCACCTGTACAGGAGCCTGGCCAGCCCCGGGGTGGGGAGGCCGCGGTTCAGTCTGCAGCCTGAGCAGCCCCTCCACCAGCTTCCTGCCCGTGCAGAGGTGGCTGGGGTGAGAAACCAGGTGACACTGACAGCCTGGGCCCAGGGCCCTCTGAAGCGGGTACTCGGGGTTTCCGGGCCTCGAACCGCTCAGCCGTGTCCCTTGGAAACAGTCCCTGCCACCAGGGTTCTTTTTTGGCTTCTGCTGCCCATTAAAAAAATCCCCTTTTGTACCCTCAAAAATATTCATCAAGCACCAGGTACAGGCTGGGCACGGTGCCAGGCGCTGGGAGCCCAGAGTGGGCACGGTGCCCACGGGACCCGCCCTGTGCACTCACGGGCGTCAGGGACACACGGAGGAACCAGTGGCCGGAGGCCACGTCCTCCGGGCCCCTGCAGCAGGCCCAGCCCCCCCAGCCCTGATGTCTTATGTGTTCAGCCCGGGGACTCGGAGACTCGGGGACAGTCGGTTTTCAGTGACTTCTCAGAGCCTGTTGAAAATGAATGAAGCCATGTCACTGGCCCCACTTCAGTCCCAGAGCCAGCTGTGGGTGACAGACGATTCATAAACGCCTCTATTTGTATTTTCAAGCAGTTAGGCAGCCTTCCCTCCAAGGGTGCCCACCTAGAGGTGGCGTCTCAGGGCCAACAGGGTCAAGGAGCCCCGGGGATCCCCCACCCGGCCTGGACCCTCCCGTGGGAGCCGGGTCGGCTGGGCGAGGAGGCGGCAGGGGTTAGTTCTGCTGACAGTCTGCCCAGGACTTTCCTGTGAAGCAAGGCAGTTGGGAGAAGTTGCTGAGAGAGATACTGGAGGAGTCCTCAGTGAGCGCCTGGAAAGTTCTGGAACGCTGGGGACTGGGGACCTGGGAGCAGGGCGCGCGCATCGAAGGGCGCCTGGGTGAAACCCCAGGTCCTGCTCGTGTGAGAGCCCCCCGCCCCGCCCCCTGGACACTTGGGCTGAGGTTGCTGTGGTTGTCACACCTCCCCCGAGCGGCAGTTGGAAGGTGCCACCTGCAGACACCACCTGAGCGGAGGCTCAGTTCTCCAGGGGGCTGTGGCCTGGGGCGGACGTCCCTCCCCGACTCCACCTTTGAAGGAGAGGCTGCACGTGAACAGGGCGGCAGAGGCTGGAGCCAAGAGAGGCCGCCACCAAGGATGGACAGGAAGTAGGTGGGCGGACGGCCAGGCGGACGGATGGAAGGACAAACAGAGGTGGAGAGACAGAGCCGGACGCCGAAGACAAAGCCCGAGATCTGCCTGCTTCACTGACCTCCCCCAGCCTGGTGCATAGTAGACACTCAATAAAGCCTGGTTTGTAGCTCTCTCCTTGCCTTGGTGTGACTGTCCCACCACGGCCGACCTCCAGCCGCAAACTGACCACTGGAAACAGACCCGGAGCCATGATGCGCACAGTGGGCCTCCTGGGGGAGGAGTGGGTAGGGTAGAGGGCTGATGGCCCTGGGCTGGGGGGGCTGGAGGAGGAGGTCCGGGGGTTGGGCTGTGGAATGGCCCTCAGGGCCGCCTGGTGCACCACCTGTACCCTCTCGTGAAGCCCTCCTGTCCGCCATGCCCACCCGCAGGCTCTGAGGGGGCAGGACAGCCACCTGCCCGAGGCCGTGCACCCACCAAACCCATCCTTAGACTTGGAAGCTGAACTTGAGGCTCTCGGTCCTCGTCCAGCCCTCGCTCAGCCAGCTCTGCTGCAGGGGACCCAGATAAAGAGGTCGAAGACTCTGCGCAAGCACCCGTGGGCGCCAGTGCCTTTGCACCCGGTGGGTGTGGCTGATGCCAGCCCAGGGAGCACCTGTGTGACCTCAGCACAGCCACATCCTGCTGTCTGCTGGGATTGCTGAGCTGTGGGGAGAGCCCGGGCCTGGGAGCTGCTGGGGGAACCAGGGGCAAACAGCTTGCCTGAGACCAAGGTGACGTGTAAGAAAGCAGGACCGAGATGTGGAAACTTATTCCTGGGACTATCTCTTGAGCACCTGGATCCAGCCATACCTGAAATCATATACCTCCCAGACTTTTGAGGTCCATGAGTACGGAAATCATTATGCTCTGCACCAATTATTTCCAGCTTTGGGCCTTGCCGGCACATGCCAGGATTGCACCTCCTGGACCTTTGTGGTCACAGGAGGCCACATGACTAGGGCTGGCTAATGAGCTTTGAGCAGAAGTGGCAAATCTCACTTCTGGATAGAGCATCTAACTATAGTCAAAATGCCCCCTAGAGTGCTTTTCCTCTGCGTCGGTGACCAGTGGTGACTAAGATGGTGACTCCTCCATCAGCCGGGGTCTTTGCCTGAAGAGGCGAGGACCAGTGTTCCCAGTGTACCTGTGCTGGATGTTTTCATGAGGCAGAAATCCATCCTTTGTTGTTTGAAGTGGCTAGAGCTGGGCTGTTTGTTACGCAGCACGCCCCAGCCTATCCTGACTGAGGCAACGAGCTGATATGTTCCCTTTTTGTGCTAAAGCTGGTTTGTGGTGGGTTCCTATTGCTGGCAGCAGGAAGTGTCCTAGCATTATCTTCCTCCCTGCGAGGAGAACTCACTTTCCATCCAAGGAGGGACCATATTTAAAGGGACCCAAGAGGTGGGGGTTGTAGCTCAGTGGCTCCGTGGTAGCTCAGTGCCTGACTAGCATGTCTCAGGCCCTGGGGCTGACCTCAGCATAGTAGGGGGACAAAAATTCCAAAGGGACAGGGACCAGGCTCTGACAGTTGTCATAAGTGACCAGGGTAAGGGGCTTGCTGACCCCGAGCCTCAGTTTCCTCTTTTGTAACCCTGGGGGCAGGAATGAGCCTCTCAGTTTTCTTTGGGGACGCTCCCAGCCGCTCCCTGCTCCCTCCCCAGGAGCTGCCCCTACATCACCTGCTGGGACTCGCCCCACCATAGCAGTGGCCTTGCAGAAGTGTCCTGGTCTTCTCCTGTGGAAAGAGACAGGGTTGAGTCAGGCCGGCCCTTCATTCCCCATCCCTGGCGCAACAGAGGCACAGGGGGAGACGTGACGTCCAGGGTCCCCTGGTTCCACTCTCGTGCTGTGTCCCTCTTGGCCTCTGGCTGGAGGGGAGCCTCTTCTCGCTCCAGGCTGTGGCGCCCCTACTGGCTGCACCCACAATGCAGCGCAGAGGCCCAGGTGCCCCCACAGGAACAGGAGTCTCATGGGGGGTGGGCATGGGCCTCCCTTCCTCAGCCTCCCTTCCTCAGCCTCCCTTCCTCAGCCTCCCTTCCACAGCCTCCCTTCCTCAGCCTCCCTTCTACAGCCTCCCTTCCTCAGCCCAGACTTCTCCAGACAGTGAAGGAATAAGAAACACAAACCATTGACCACAAGGACAATCAAGAGGCCACAGCAGCTGGAACCATCGCACCTTCCCGGGGAGTGGGAGGATGGGGTCTGGGTTGGCTCTGTGGGACCTGCCGAGGCCCAGCTCCTGGTTCCGGCGGCCGCACCCTGGCCTGGACCTCGTCTCCCTGACACACACCCCCGCCCCCTGCACCGCACCGCACGTCTTTTGCTGGCTCCGGCACGAGCTGCGGGCGCCTGGCTCCAGGCCGTCCTCCAACACCCAGCCAAGGCATCAGGCCACCCAGCGGCTCAGGGGCCACTGCCAGCCCCAACCTCGGGGAGCTCTCTGGAGCTCCTCAGGCCTCAGTCTCCTCGTCCATGAAGTGGGCACAAGGGTTACCCCGACCTCTCGGGGTGCTAGAGAACAGTGCCTCGTGCCTTCCACGGGCTCAGGAAGTGCTGCTGTGGTCCTATTATCACTTCTATGGGCACGTCACCCCCACCTGGGCCGGTTCTCACGGGTCTCAGCCTTGAATGCGGAGGGACAAAGAGCGACAGGCCCCCAGACCATCAGGGAAAGAGCAGCCTGGGCCACTGCTGCCCCCTGCTGCCCGGCACTGGAACTGGCCGATGGCGGAGGAAGTGGCACCGGCTCTGTGCTGGCCAGGGGCAGGGGGTGCTCCGGAGCCTCTGCCGGGTGCTTGTACGTGTAGGGGACCCGACTCGCAGTCGTCATGGAGACCTGAGGTGGGAGGTGCCGGCGGTGAGGGCGACGGTGAACTGCGGTCTGTTGAGTTCAGTGAGCGCTGACTTCTGCCCTGTGGGTGGACGAACCTGCCTTGGGTCCGGGGGTGTTGGTTGCATGCACGCATTTGAGCCCATGTGCGCGCACACGCCCCACTCATATATGCACATCTGGAAAACCTCTGGCTGCAATGAGTCAAGGGCCCAGGGGAAGGATGGGTGGTCAGGAGGCTGGGCCACTCTGCGGTCTTGCAGCCCGTGAGGGTGCAGGTGTGCCAGGGAGCCGATGGCGAGCCTGGTGTGAAAGGGGCATCATGGCTGTGTTTCCCGGGCAAACAGATGCAGGGGCCTGGGAGGGGCCTGGGCAGGAGCGCCCACCTGGGAGCTTCAGCCTGTAGGGCTTTGGGTTTGCACGGGAGCCACCCACATTTGTTTATGGCCACCTGTCCCAGCTGGAGACCTACGCTGGTTCACAGAACCTGACTGTCCCAGTAACTTAGGAAAAGGGCTAAGAAAGCAGGTGACCTCACAGAAGAGAGAGAGAGAGAGAGAGAGAGAGAGAGAGAGAGGATTTTTAATGTTCATTTTTCAGTTTTCGGCGGACACAGCATCTTTGTTTGTATGTGGTGCTGAGGGTCGAACCCGGGCCGCACGCATGCCAGGCGAGCGCGCTACCGCTTGAGCCACATCCCCAGCCCCCAGAAGCTCCTTTTCAAAATCGGAGCTGGCTCTGCGACCTCAAGGGTCCTTGGAAAGAGAGCGAGGTGCTGGAATTCACCCACGAGGGGAGGTTCCATGGAACATTCTATCCCCAAAAGGGCAAAGGGGTAGGGTTACAAAGGAACAGGGGAGTGTAGCTCAACTCCAGCGGGTGATGGGTGAGGCCTACGCCTGGGGCCACGCCTTGTTATCTGGAGGGGTGACACTGCCCGGCCAGACTGGAGGCAGCAGTGTTGGGAACCTCGTGGTCAGGGCTTCAAGGCCTGGGCCTCCAGGGTGGCTCCCGACACTTAAGAAAAAATAGCTGAAGAAGGAGAAGTCCCCTGTGTGAGCCTGTGACAGCGGCTAGGCCTGCTCTGGTGGTGCAGATGGGCAGTGGGCGGACCCCTGGGCCCCTTCCTGAGTGACCTCAGTGTGGTTAGCGCTCAGCGGTTCTTTCCTTCTGAAGTGCCCTTCTAGCCCAAGCATGGCCCCCGGGCCCCCTTCTTTATGGCCCCTGCTGGCCCTGCCACTCAGCTCGCAGCCACTGCACCGTGGTTTCTGCAGACACTGCGCACAGCTGGGAGACAGGGCTTTCTCGGAGGGGTGGGTGGTGCTGGGTGGAGGGACGGCTGGGGGGTGGGCGGGGGGGATGGCACATGGAAGGCTGGCTGGGAGGAGGGTAGTGACAAACTGATGTGTCTCCATTTTTGAGAAACCAGCCTCTACCTCAGAGCAAAGCCTGTCCAAGGAAGGGGGTGTGACCCTTGTCCTTGGAAAAACCCACAGAGCACTCCTAGGCACATACCCACCCTGCTGAGTTGTTTGTCTACAAATAACAGGAGAAATCTGTGGTGCCAGGTGTCCCTGACTCAGTCAGGCTAAGCGAGGACCCATAGCAACTGCCTAGCAACCACCAATCAGCAAGAGACAGGGAAATACCTGGGACGCCCGATGACCCCCCAGTAGTTTCTGGTGGTTGATAACGTGTTGGGAAACCATGTAGTTCAGCACGTACACCCCTCGTGGCCTAAACCAGTCAGTTCAAAGAATCCCCCTCTGTACTAACCAATCACCCCTACCCAACTTGTTCCCGCCAGTGAATGTGCTCATCAATGTTAAGAGTTGTTGTTTGACTTTCCCGCGGTGTGGAATGATTTGCTGTGTGATGTTGTGACCATACAGTATCCCCCCAAAACCTATACAATCTCACTGGACAAAGGACCAGGACTCACTCCCTGGGACGGCTGCATCGGGAATGGTTGTGAGTCCAGGCTCGAGCTTGCAATAAAGACTCTTGTGTGATTGCATCGGATTCGGCTCCTGGAGGTCTATTGGGGTCCCACGAATCTGGCATAACATCTGGGGGCTCATCTGGGATCCCCCAGACCCCAGGACCTCCTAACTGGAGCTAACACCGGTGAGTCTTGTTATTCGTGTGTCTGTTGTCTGCTTTGTTCTCACCACGGCCCGTAGAATCTGTATTCTGGGCTGGCAACTGGCCTTGCCATAGGGTCGCCAGCGGGGGCTCCTGGGAGATGTCCCAGACCCCAATCTGAGGGGGATACTCCCTCAATCTTTTCGTCTAAGGGAATC